AAGAAAAAAAAAACACAAAAACAGTTGACTATTAAAAAGCTATGGATATCCATTAAATAGCCATCTCCTTTGCTATATCAATGATTAATTTGCAAGCATTTAATCACAATAATTCGGGGAAACCTCAAATCCCTTCATCAGGCCCCAGTCATGGTATGACTAACATTTTATTTTTTTATGACTAACATTTTAAAAATATAATTGTATACCTAATTTTTTGAAGAGTTTGTTTGCTTATAGAGCTTATAATTGCTCCATAGAGATAAGGAGAACGAGTCTCTAGGATAGAAATGGCAATTACAATGACAACAACAAAAGTAGAAAATATAAAGGGAAAAAATGAAATCAGTTTTATCCTTTCTGCCTTTTTGCAACTCACCTGAAACTGTCCTAGCAATTTCATAATTAATTTTTTAAAATGTTGTAGCAAAAAATGGACAGTTTGGTTTATGATACTATACATTTATGGACTCAGTCCCAGGCAACTTGAGTGGCTATAAATTATCTTGATGGAGCTTGAACCCTCTCCATGTTCCAGTGGCATTTTATCTCCTTCATTAGAGCATGTAAGGCAAATGTGGACTGGAGCGTAATTGGATAAGAATCACCTGGATGTTTGTTGGAAATTCATACTTAAGACCCCACTGCAAGTCCCAGGAATCAGTAAAGCAACAGAGTGTCTGGGCCAGTAGAATACTGGGATGCACTCTCATTGCCTCCTGATAGATAGGATGCCTGGGGCCTAGACGCACTGGGCCAGTCAGAATGGAACTAACCAGCCACTGTGTGATTGAGGGAAGCCCGTAGACTTCTCTGGATTTTATTTTCTTATAGCTCTCCCAAGACAAGACCCCGAACTCCTTGTTATACTGAGAAAGCTATGATTATATAGATATAATTATAAATTTAATATATATATTCCATTAATTGTGCTCAAAATCCTAAAATCAGACAAAATGAAAGGAGAAATATTTTATTATGGCATAACTCAATCTAAAATGGATATCAATAGGTTAAGTTTAATTGCACAGGACTTGCCTGTGTAAACTATATATATATTTTTTTTCTGAACTTTTGAATGTATAAGACAACACGTTCTATTAATCATAACGTATTCTTTCATTGGAGGATGCCAGTAGTCCTTCAGAATATCCCCCACTGTGTGTCAGCAGCATGAACACCAGTTTTCCATTGTGAGGGTAGACAGAAAGAAATCTACTTTAAATGCCTGTTTGGATTCTGATACCAGGGCAGTTTGCCCAACCTTATTGATACTTTTATTCCCCTCTGCAAACATATTTGGTGTAGAAACGAATGTATTTGTGTTATAATAGAGACCACTGTACACAAATCTGTGCTGATAGGAGAGGGTCATTTCTGTGGCCCTCTCAGGTGAAGAAAGTGTCCCTAGAGCTGGTTTTATTTTCTTTGTCACTAGATGTCACTGCATACACAGCGTGCTTACTGTAGCAGAGGGTAATGGGAGCCCTGAGAGCAGGGGAAAGAGGCAAAATAGATTCTGGATGCCTTCCCTCTGATCTACTTGGAAGATATCTGGGCTTTGGATCTCATTGAGGCATTCCCACAACCTCGTTTAATTAGGCTAATCCCCTTAATGCTCTGTCATTTTATAGATTGTGTGAAATGTAATTTAAATGTGTGCAAATCTTTTGTCATTCAAAGGACCTTTGTGTGTGTGTAGGGGGGTCATATGTGGTAAATGTATCTTATTCAGAGTTTCTTTTGGTGTGGAATTATGGGCAGGATGCAAATTGGCTACTTATATGCTGCTTCTAATTCAGGGTTATATCCTGTTAAAAAGCCAATTTGTTCTCAATCAGAGTGAAACATTTAATAGATGTTCAAAATTGGCTCCAAACAGCCTATTTGCTAGCTAGTGACATTGTACATCTGCTTCAAGTTAAGAAACTTTAATTAAAATTACAATTCATCTATCCAGTGTCCTTTCAAATTTCAGGTTGATATTTGCATCCTTGAGGGCCAAAGGCATGCTCGGTTAGGCCCCAGTCCAGTGCTTTCTCCTCACTTAAGAGATTAATTCAAGTTGATATTACAGCCTTCTAGGGAGACAGTAATTGACATCTTCTCTTCTTATTCCCAGCCCCCAAAGGTTTTGTGACATTCTTATGGGGAAGACCCTGCTGAGTCATTAGTGGAATTTCACCTTCATATTTTTATTCACTGAGATCCCACGGCAGGCAGAAATTTTACCCAAGGCATCTAGTATTTAGAATTCCCCCTCTCCTTAGCAGCAGAACCAGATGTGAACAGATATCTTACTGGAACTTGGACAAGCAGGTCCTTAAGTTAAAGCCCTACACCCCTGCCTGTGATCTGGTTTAATTAAATAAGCACATATAAGATATTAACACATAACCCAGGTTATGATCCTGACTCTCTTTATTTGGTTGTGAGAAATCTGGGCCTGAGTTTTCTCATCAAAAAAGGGAACTAAGAAAATCTACCTTTGTCTACCTCACAATGTTGTTGGGAGAATCAAACAGGATAATAGATTTGAAAAAAGCCAAAACTGTTACATAGATTCATGGCATTTTCTTCCTATTTCTGATAATTTAAATGGTGACACATGTTTTAAATAAAATTAGAACAGCAGTTTATATCACTTTTAAAAGTTATCTGTAGTTTTTTTCTTCTCTCTTTTTTAAAGAGTTTATGTAATATTTTAGCCAATAACTAAATGTGATCAGGAACTTTGTGACCAGAGATATTCATTTTCCTATGCTCAGCCAACAGGCAGTGTCTGACAAATTAAAATAGAAGATGACATCACAGAAAATGGTGGTGTGTTCCTGGCCACCCATGTAGATTATATTCAGGTGACAGCACGGATCATCTTTATTGCAGTGCAGACCTGGAGATGCCAGGGCTGGATTTGGGGAGTGTGGAAAGAAGATGCATTCAGGGGATAGTTGCCACAGCTGAAGTTATGTCAAGTCTCAGAACAGGCAAACCTGTTAATTGAGGACTTCATCAGTTTCTATTTCTAAAAAATATACCCCAAGAGAAAGTTATGTAAATCTTGTTGGATATGAAATTCTCACAAAATAGCATTTTGATGAGTCTAAGGTAAACAGATCAGATCCATACTGATTAAATTTCCATTAAAACACACATGATTTTAAGAATGGAGTGATGAGGAGGGGGGGTTGTGAAAATGAAAATGATTTTATTTTATTATTTTTTAAAGATTTTATTTATTTATTCATGAGACACACACACACACACACACACACACACACACACACAGAGAGAGGCAGAGACACAGGCAGAGGGAGAAGCAGGCGCTAAACCACTGAGCCACCCAGGCTCTTAAATGTGGTCAGGTCTTGTCCCAAATCTGCTCTTGAGATAGCCTTCTGACTTTCCTTAAAAAATGGTGTGTCCCATGAAATAAGGGAATTTTGGTAATGACAGCACATTTGGTAGATAGATGGTGGTCTTCAGAATTCCAGCAGCTCTCTCCATAGACATCACAGGGATGAAAGGGACCCTCTCATTCTGGGTGGGATTAGCACTCAACAGCCCCTGTGTTGTTCTTCGTGGCTTTCAACCTTCGTGGTTTCTTGCTTCCTTATGGTCACTGTGGCCACCTAGAAATTCTTTTCAGGACTATAATAACCAGATCAGCTGCTGCAGGCTGGACCTAGGTGGAATAAAGGGAGGTGGAGGGCACTCCAGCAGACCCTGTCTGTTCCCAGATCCCAGCACACACCTCAGGGTCACAGCACACAAAACCACCGTCCAGCTCCATTTGATAAGGCTCCATCCCACACGACCCATTGCCCCTACTTAAGGTCTGGGGGGATACGCTCCAATAGCATGCACCCTTCGCCCACAGAAATACTAGAAAAAAATACACACCCAGGTCTTGCAGTAAGCAGGAAGGCTCTTCTTGTTAATTTTCCCCCTTCAGATACTTCTCCGTGGAAATCTTTAAGGTAGATTTGGGGAATTTATTTCTTAAAGGTTGTTTTTAATATTAATCTTTTGATAGAGATCATTTTAACCTATGAATAACAATTAATGGGGGGAAAGGGGGCTAGTAGGAGTTTATTTTATTTTGAAATAAAGCAGAGCATCTCCTCACTCCTTGCTTTGTTCATCAGTTGCCTGATGCTGCAGGGTGGACAAGTTTTCCCTAAGTAGCATCTGGTCCCTCTTGAAGGATTCCACAGGCGTTTTGTCTCTCTCAGGTTTTAAATAGTGGCCTCTGGGGTGAGAGACCATCTGGCAAGGCGTCACTTGGCCAGTTGGTCCTGCCTGACTGCACGCCACCCTGCATTCCCCTGCATCAGATGGCCCCAGTACCCATCGGGGTCCTGGCTGAGGGCTGGACAACATGCGGTGGGATTTAGTCTTGGGCAAGGGGCCAGGGTTAGTAATAGGATCTCTAATGAAGAAGATGGCAAGATTACATGGTTTTAGGATGTGGGCTCATGCATGGTCAGCAAAATTGGCTTTCAGTTTTGGTTCACTTACCTCCTAGCCCAGAAGCCACAAGCAGCTTCTCTCAGCTTCTTACATCTGGAAAAGGAGGAACATTCGTAACAACTGGGTTGTTGCAAGGTATTAGTGAAATTACTCCCACTGTAAAGGTATATCTTATATCAGGAAACAGGGTACATTGTTATGGTTATAGAGGATTGTGTAATAAGGGGACTATTTGCAAACTTGCAGACAGGGTTAGGAAAAGCAAGAGGGAATCTGTGCAACATTGCAAGGCTTGTGACATCCCAGAGCTGTTATCTGCTAGGGCTGAAGGGCTAAAGCCAGGAAGCAGTTACAGGAAAGCAGGGAGGGAGCTTCAGGGAGAAGGTACCTCCTTTCACAAGCTGTGTACTTTTTCAGAGGGGCAGCAGCCAATGTGTGACTAGAAGAGGGGGTAGACACTGAGGTGAGGGGATGATAATACTCTAAGAATAATCTTTGGCCCTCACTCTCCTTGTACTCTTCTACAGGTCCCACCCATTACCCAAACTAAATAGTAGTGCTGACGACACCCTCTTGGTGCTCAGGTATGTGTGGAAGGCTTTTTATTCTTGAGACATTCAGCCTGAAGGTTTTGTTTTTTGTTTTTTTCCTAGCAGGGGAGCATGCATGGCACATTCCCACAGCAAACATGCTGGAAAGCTGATGCACACAAAAGCAGCCCTAAACCCATCACTGATGGGAGTTAGTGAATAAATACCTAGCTTCCTCACCCTTTGCTGTCTTCTGGAGTTACCCCAGGCTCTACCACCAGTTGTCTACAATGGGAACTTTTCTCGTGGTGTGTATGTGTGTGTGTGTGCACGCACAATACATCTTAACGAATAGAGTTGTTCCATTGGACCGAACAAGTCACATGGGCAAGTCTAGTGTCAGTACAGGATGGAGCTACAAAGGGGCCTCATATAAGAAAGCATGAACAAATTGGAACCATTACTATAATCAAGCATCCGCATCATTTCTCTCTCCTATTATAGTGGAGAAGATGTTCCTCCACCCTCTTGTGCTCTGAGTACCATCTCCCTGCTCTTCATCTTGAAAGGCAGAGTGGATTTTATCCTGCTAGAGATTGGATAGATTCCTGTCAGAATTCCTTGGAGTGTTTGAATAAGTGATTTTCTGGGAACCAACCTGGATCCCCTAAAGCAGAACTTCTGTAGGAAGAACCTGAACATCTACACTTTAGTTACGTGTATGCAAGTGACAGAATAGGTATGTGTGTTTCATAGGTTTCCATTTCAACACAGCAATAAGACCCAGTGGTTGAGGTTGACACTGAGTGCTCCCATTGATCTGATCATACTCTTTTGTTAACTGATATACGTGTATTGTAATGGAGAATATGTTTGGCAACTTACTGTAATCCCCATCATTGTTGCCTATGGGGAAACCATGGTTTTACTTATTTTGAAGGGTAGTGAAGGGGGTTGTGGAAAGTTGCTGTTTTATGTGAACAGAGGCAAAGATCACATTTCAATCATATATTTATGATTGCATAGTGCATAATAGGTAGGAGAAAAGAGTTTGTGTTTTGAATTAAATTGAATTCCTTTACTACATTAAAAATATTTGAACTCTTCAAGTCATATGGAATTTAGGACACCTCAGTTAAATCCCCAATATTTTATTTAATTGAAGACACTGAGTGTGTGAATCCTAGGATATGGGCTGATGTCACTTTTCAGCATGGCCCAAGTCCCTAGAATCCCTGTTGGCAACTTCAAGGGCTGCCCCAGCTGTAGGGAGAAGTGAGTTGGCAGTTCTGTTCCATGTCTGATCTGAAATTAATTGCTTAAATGTGTTAATTGGATAGGATATTAAGGTATGCAAACATAAGCAAAAACAATAAAGAGAACATGATAGTCTCCACTAAGGCCAACTATCTATCTTCATTGGTTCTCTGAAGACAAAAACTGTAAAGAACCTTTCTTCTGATGTTAAGCTTTCATTCATTCCTTGGGAGATGTAATCAACCTTTATACAAAAATTTTAAGTGTACATATTTTGTGAGAATGTCCCTAATGTGTCTACTATCCAAGAAGGAACGGTTACATATTTTATTTATTTATTTGTTTAGTTATTATTTTATGCAGGTGAGTTTCAGTTAGAAAATGAATTTTAAACCACCAATCAGGTGGAATTTATTATTGAAACATATAGGATAGAATGTGGTAAGGGTCCAGAATCAAACATAAAGTGAGTCATAACATAAATTCCACTGAGTTTGAAAGATCACAATGACTAAGAATCATTTATTTTTAAATACTCTTTTCTTAATGTTGCTTACAAATGGGGCTTTATTCTAAGAGCCCTTTCATGGTAATAGTGCCCGAGACTCAAACAGATCACTTATATATACAGGGACCATATAATTTATTATCCAAACTCAGATAAATGGGGTGATATTTATAATTAAGCTATAATGATAGGTAAAAACTGGGACTATCTTTGGACAACTGGATGCATGCGTTACTCTACCTGTATACTTTAGTCATAGGAGTGTTAAGTTCCCCTTTATGTTTTGTGTAGACTTATTATGCTAGCTGTTTTGTGACTTAAAAGAAATTAGGCCTCCCTCAAAAAGAATCTAAACCCTCAGGAGATAAAATTAGTAAAACTTTAAAAATAAGTAAAAATAAATTTCAAAGGAAAGTAATGTACTGTTAAATGCTTGATGGATGAATAATGATACTTATTTATTTATTGTGTCCTGTATGTCAAGCATTGCACTGTTTTCTTCACTTCACCTCTTTTATGCAGGTGAAAAAGAGCTCTCTACAAAGAGATATATCCATGTAGCATTATAATAAGTGTAGAAGTCAAGATTTAAAACCAAGTAATTTGGCTTAATCACCAAGTTCTCAATTCTTTGACAGCCTCAGTGGAGCAAGAGGGAGAAGAAGGGAGAGTAATTAATTCATATATGACTTCTAGGGTTTTGAGCCTTAATGACATAATACTGACAGATAAAGGGAAGTTGGGAGTAAAAGTCACCAATGATTGGGAAGCAGAGATGAATTAAATTTTGATGCAAAACCAAAAGCAAGGTAATTACAAAGAGGTATTAGTTAGGAACTGTCTATGTCCAAGGCCTTCTCAAAGGAGAATCTAAGTCCCAAAAAGGCTAAAAGTTATGAAATGCATCAGTGGTGGGTTGGAGACTAGTCCTCTCATTTCCTGCCTGAAACTCCTTCTATGAACAGTACCAGGCCTGCCAACCGAAAGGGCCCAGGGGCCAACTGGGAAAATGGGATGGAAACTTGAAAGGGTGATGACAGATGCATGGGATGCAAGGAAAAGCACATGGAATGCCCTTCCTGAAGAAAGACCAGCCTTGAAGCTATGAAAGTGAGGAAGTGCTATCAAAATGGAGTGAAGAAAAGAGATGTAATAAAGTAGGTCATGTGAGGTCATGTCTCTGCAGGGCAAGGACTGAAGGGAGGACACACAGTCAGCAAAGCATACAAGCTACAAGTGGCCAGAGGGGTAGGAAGGAAGACAAGACCAGGTAGAGTTTCAGAAGCTGAAGGAGGAGGGGACTCCAAGAAGGATATATGACTATGAAATGCTAGAGAGACTCAAGGTTTGATTTCTATCATGTGCTGGGTCAGTTATTAGTGCTGCACATATCAGCTTATTTGCTTTCGTAATAGCAGGTGTGTGGCAGGTGTTATGGTTTCTATTCTACAGATGTCAATCAGGAGACAGGGAAGTGACCAAACAGAGCAACATCAGGAAGTTGCTTTTACCCTAAGGCTAGTGGGACAATGGGGACATGGTACTTTTGCCAGAGACTAAGAACCTCAAATCTTTGAATACCCAACAGGAGCGAAATTCATAGTAGGATCTTATTTGATGGACCAGGAGCCATGGAGGAGACATGACTGCTGAAAGAATTGGGGCAAAATAGGGGGATTATGGGGAAAGAAATACTGATCCTGGCTTCCCCTTCCCTCCCACACTTCATCTTTCATCTGGCTTCTCCCATTGGCTGGAAGCATCTAGAACCCAGAAGACAAGGGAACTTGGGAAATGAGTCCTGTAATACATACCAGAAAAGGAGAAAGGCAGTAGATACATCTACTGGAGTAAACAGGAAGCTGACTTGCATTTCCACACATAGGAGATCATTCATACATTTGTTTTACACATATCTTACAGGCCAAAATTCAGTCATGTGCCACCACCCACCCCTTATCTGTAAGGGAGGCTGCATGCCCAAGAAGAAGAAGGTAATATAGAGAATAGTGACCATGGCAGTCTCTACCATAGGCAACTACATTACAGACAGTACCATAGTGGCCACTGTAAGAAATACAAAAGTGAATAAACTGTCACTTCAGCTAATGTGGGCAACTGACATAGTCACAACATAGACTATAAAAAGTGGAGTAATAGAGGCACAGTGTGTGGCTGGAATGCTTGCAAGAGATTCAATCTGATTAGAGTACTAAACTGGAAGAATTTTTGGAAGTTATAGAATTTGAAAGGATTTTAACAAGCAGGACTATGGGGGGGAACGCCATTCTAGACTTGGGGAAGAGCTGCATGCCAGGCACAGAAATAGGAGAACTGTGTGTATTTAGGGGATTGGGAGTAGACTAGGGTCCCAAATATGTGTGGGTTAGGGTGCAATGAATAACTGGAAAGAAAGATAGTTAAAAGAGAATTAAGCTTGGGGTAGTTCTGAATATTAGATTTGCATAATAGTGAAACTGTAGGGGTGAGGGTGGACTGCAATGGAACTTTATTCTTACATACATTTCAGAAACACAGAAAGATTTTGAATAAGTAGAGCTCAAATAATCATAGCTGTGTTTTAGGAATATAACAACAGGCACATGAATGGGTGTTATGGGCTGAATTGTGTTCTTCCAAATACATATGTTGAAGTCCTAACCTCCAGTATCTCAGAATGTGACTGTATTTGGAGATCCCATCTTTAAAGAGGTCATTAAGTTCAAATGAGGTCAACAGAGTATGACTGGTGTCCTTATAAGAAGAGATTAGGACACCAACACAAACAGAAGAAACACCATGTGAAGACACAGGGAGAAGACCTAATCTTCCGACCAAGAAAAGAGGACTCAGAGGAAACCCAGCCTGTTGACATCTTGATCTTGTATTTCTAGCCTTCAGAATTATGAGAAAATGAATTTATGCTGTTGAAGCTACCCAGTCTATGATACTTTGTATTTGCTACTCTAGCAAACTAATGCAGTGGCACTGATTGCATCTAGATTTGATTACCTGTGTACTGCAGGATAGTGGTAAAATTTCCTCTTAATGAATTCTTGTAACATACTTTAAGACCTTAAATTTCTCCATTTTTTTTTAATTTTTATTTATTTATGATAGTCACACACACACAGAGAGAGGCAGAGACACAGGCAGAGGGAGAAGCAGGCTCCATGCACTGGGAGCCTGACGTGGGATTCAATCCCGGGTCTCCAGGATCGCGCCCTGGGCCAAAGGCAGGCGCCAAACCGCTGCGCCACCCAGGGATCCCAAATTTCTCCAATTTTGG